CCGGCTTGCCTCGCCCGCCTCGCCCACGCCTCTCTTGCCGCCTCGCCTCGTGCTCGCCTCTCGCCCGCCTGGCCTGGCCTGGCCTGGCCTGCCTAGGCGCAACCGTGTCCAGCCAGGGTGCGGGTGCAGGCCAGGCCAGGAAGTGCTGGCCCCGGCCTGGCTTGGACCTCTCTCCCTGCCTCTCTCTCGCCTGGCAGCCTACTCTCGGCCATGGCAGGCCAGGCAGCGCACGACGCACCCCTCGCACGCCCGCACGCCTCGTCTTGAGTCCCAGAGTACCGGGGTGGCTCCTGCTGCTGCCTGTCCGCCTGCGGCCTCCGCTTCCCCCACGCAGCTGCGCTGTGGTGCGCCCTCCGACCGGCCTTTTTTTGGAACGGCCAGCCGGCCTCGTCGCTAACTACAGAGAGTAGTACTCCTTGCGACCTTTGCAACCTCTGCTGCGACCTTTGCCACCGCTGCTTCCTGGAAGTCTTCTACCACCTCCTCTTGCTCCTCGGGCCTAGGCCACGGTATCCCTTGAATAGCAACGAAGGTAGCCAGTTGACGACGGCGGGTGTCGACCTACGTGACCTGCAGTCCTGTCGGCGGCGTGCCGAACCCAAGAGCCGATAGCGGGCAGGCTATCAGGCTAGGCAGCAGCTGCTCGACCGGGCGCGCCGCAGGCCAGTCGCCACCATCACGGCCGTGAATCAAAAGATCGACATCCTGCCCTGCCTTTCTGCTCGCGGATCTCCGACGAGCCATGTAGGGCAGGTCAGTCGGGTCGGTCTTGACCGTCGACCGGCGCACGGATACGACTGCTCGCCGTCGCTGGAACACTGACCGTGCCACCCTTCTTTCATACCGGTAACTCTGAGGCGACCATCGCTCGCCTGCTCTTCGGCGAGCTCGCGCTCCGCACCGTCCCGGGTTGCTTCCGCGTGCTCGGCCACGGCGCTGAATCTATGTACGTACCGCAGCGCGTCCGAGTATGTAGATGACCATCGACCCCGCACGGCCCCGCGAGAGTCGGGCAAGATTGCGTGCATTCGCTCTCGCTCCGGTCCAGCAGCTTTTTTCCTTGGAAGTGGCGAGCCATGGCCGAGGACATGCTTCGACGGTGGGTGCTGCCATGAACGGACGTATGTACGCAGGGCGGAGCACCATTCAACGGCTGCAGCGGCGGCGGCAGCAGCAGCAGCTCGACACAGAAGAACATTTGCAAAGAATTCCAGCACCGCAACGGAGCGCCGGGGTGAAGCGCTTCCCTACCACCATGGCCGCGCCCGTCTGATGCCTGATGCCTCCGACGAAGCCACAAGACCGGCCGTGGCAGAGTCTTGTCTCTCGGCGGCGCTGAAGGCGCAGGCACCTGCCGTCTGCCTTGCTTGCGGATCTACGGTGTCGGTAAGGGCGTCGACGACGATGCCTTCGGAGCAACCACCATCAGCAACATCCTCCAGGCTTGGGCTCGCCCATCCCCGCACCTGGTCGGCCCGAACCGCTCTCGGTCGAGCGCCTACCGTAGTGGGCACCCTCTTTGTTCGTCTCCTAGCTGCGACCAAGGCTGCTTCGCGGTCGGCAGGTCGGTCCGAGGACCGCACACTTTCGCCGGAGACACGCATATGTAGATAGACGGGCGGGCAGACGACCGGCGGTCCCGCTCGGATTTGCACGTGTGCTTTCGCTCCGCGGCGCAGGCGTCCCACCCATCCTAACGCAGCACTCGTCGATGAAGCGCGTCTCGAGTCGTGCCTCGCATCGGTCCGGGAGCGACGTCCCAAACCAGGCGTCAGCACCGCGTACCATTGTTCGCGAAGACTAAGGAATCGACTAACTAGCTGATGATCTCGCTCTGCGTGCTCTGCTGTGAGTCAGGATCATCGTCCTTGCACTACTAGACCCACTCGGCTGGCAAAGGCGAGGCGTGAGTGAGATGCTAGGCTAGCTACGCGGCACCCAGCATCTCGGTACCAATCCAGGACCACCAGCTGATGGGCAGACGACATCCCCACGGCCGCCGTCAATCGTTGTACCGTATAAGGCTAAGCTGGCCGTCCGGACCGGACCGATGGACCTTGTTGTCGCCCCCCAATCAAGGAAAATGCAACAGCTCCTCGTCGTCGCTCGTCAGCGGCGAGCTCAGTCCTGTTCCGGTATTTTTGCTTGCAATATCCAGGTGATCTTTTCCATGGGTCATAGCACGTCCTATCTACCTCTCTGATGGCTGTCAAGAACTTGCCAGTCGGTCCTGTGGCTGAGCATAAGGCAACAGGGCGTCCGTCCGCGCGTCCGCACCCGCACTCGGGCGCCCCTCGGCCGCGCGAGGTGGCTCCCCACCTGCACCACCGGTTCACCAAACGATAACCCTTCATATTTTGCATACTCAGGCCTTCCAACAACACCACCGAGCTTAGCTCAGATGGAAGAGCGATGGTTTGTAAGCGGAGTAGCCCTTGAACGGGCTCTAGATTGACCACCATAGGTCGCCAGTTCGATTCTGGCAGCTCGGAATATCTTTTATTTTCCCGGGCCTTTTTTGGCTGCCCTGACCTGGAGGGGTAGGCTGGCTGGCCTGCCAAGCTTTTGCTCGGCCTCAGGGTGGCGAGGCTTCGCTGTGCTTGCTGCATCAGGCAGAGGGAGAGGGGTGCAGTTGAGTCTGTGGTTCAAGCAACCTGATCTTACCCTGACAGTGAGTGACATGTTAGGCCAAGTTCTGAAGTGGGCAAGGTGTGGGAAAAAGACTGTTGCACCAGCTAGACCACCAACTGGCAGGTCAAGCTGACAGGTCCATGTAGGGCCCTCCAGGCAACTTGGAACCACACTGCTGGGTCAATCAATGATGGCCAGCTCCTCTTCTGCCTCATGGCCTGTAGTGGCAGGGTCTGCAGCCACAGTGAGGAGATCCTCTGGGCACAATGGGATGCCAGAATTGGCTTGATTTGGGATACAGCTTGTCACAGCCCTGGCCCAATCGGGGCTGAGCGGCGCGGGCCAGCGGGGCAGAGGATTTCTGGAGCCAAGGTGAATTCTCTCCGCGCGGCCGCGGAGAGGAATCATTGGCCGCCAGCAATCCTCTGCGCGCCGGGGCAGCGTCGGCACGCACCTAGCGGATCCGCAGTTGCTCCTGCTGGCAGGAGGACTCCTCGGATCCGCTCCGAGGGCCAAGGACTAGGCCTCGGCCACGTCGGTGGCATCCCACCTAGGAGCAACGCCTTGGGATGACAATGGAGGACAATAGGACAATAGAGGCCATTCCTGATTGGTCGAGGCAGAGATGCCTCGACGCCGTAGGTAGACAGTATATAGCCTAGTCCTCCTCTGCGTTGGTAGACTGGATGCCCTCATCCAGTCTAGTCAATACCAGTCCTCACCGCTTGCTCGTCTTCCATCGACGTGAGAGCCCAAGGCTACCGTTGTCTAGCAATTGCGACGTCTATCGACAGATCACCACGCCAGCTCACTTCCGTAGTCATCCTTGACCGTGGACGCCTGCCAACGGTGCTCACAGTTGCCCTCGGTATCAACCCGCCGTTCCCGAACCTCGCTCGCGCCTCTGACGTGAGCACTGAAGCGATCGCCCTCCGACGCGCAGAGACTTCTCCGCCCCTTGGACAATCTTCTGCGCACCGCCAGGTCGACCGTTACACAGCTGTCGACAGCTTCCTTGCCTTGCGGCTTGACATTTTGCTGAGGACAAGTTCGCATCCACTTGTGGGACCTATACCATTTGCCATCGACCATCCAGGGCTCCACATCTGTGGGGAGTTGTCGATCAGTGAATCTGCCTGCTTGAGAGGCTTGCGGGCGGAGGTCTCTGGCTGATCCCACTCAAGGGCGCTGTCGGAAGCCGAAAAGCTCGCTGATGAGTGTTTCAACGGTGCCAAGCAGGTCAAGATTGTCCGCCTTGAGGTTCTCAATGCGGCTATGCAGGTCCTGGATCAAGCCAAGGATCAGGTCAAGATCTTCCTGGGTCAAGTGCACGGCCGTTTTGGTAGTGCAGGCATGCAGTGGGGTGATGGGGACGGTAGTCCTTGTTGCAGTCATCTTTGGTCCTTGAGGTTTCAGCAGTACTAGATCCAGGGCTGTGTCCGAGTTTCAAAGAGCTGATGATGATTGAGCTTGCATCACGTCGCGAGCAGCAGGGGCCTGCTTGCAACAGCACGCTGGAAACGCTTCAAGACGGGACGGCCAGCACACCATGCAACAACAGGCTCAAGACGGCACAAGCATACGGCACGAGCACCAGGGGCGCTGCGACAACAGGCTCAAAATAGACGACGGCACATCACAAGAGGCGAACATAAGCAAAGCACGCTAGGATACAAGATGCGGCGCCGATTCGGCCCATCGTCGTTTCGGGGCCCTCGCCGCCGCCGTGCGAGGTCCGTCAGGCTATACTGCTTAGACGATCATCTCGAGGCCGTTGTGGCCGGCGACAGCGACGGCCTTGACGCCGTACTCGAACGGCTCTCCGTCCCAGACGACGATGCTGTCCTCGGGCTGGAGGCCGAGCACGTCTTCGACGGCCGACGAGACGAGGCCGAGGGCGTCCCTCTTGTCGACCTTGCCGTCGGTCTCGAGGGCGGCGCGGATCGAGTCAAAGAGGAGCGTCGAGGCCTGCCAGCCCTCCTCGATCTTGAGCGCGACCTTGACGCCGGCGTCGAGGAGCGCGCTGAGCGTGGTGGATGCGGTGAGCGGGGGGCCGACGAGGCCCTGCAGCTCGTCCCAGGTGCGGGGCCAGGTCTGCGGGATGAGGATGACGGGTACCTTGCGCTTGGCGAGGTCGGCGGCGACGAGGTGGGCCTCGGTCGCTCCGGACAGGACGAGGCGGAGCGAGGGGAACGAGTCGGCCAGCTTGAGGAGGGTGGCGATTTGCGACGCCTTGAGCGCCGTGACGACGAGGGGCAGCTCGCCGCGCGCCACCTTGGCCCACACGGCGGCGGCCGAGGCGTCGGCCGGGGCGGCACCGGCGGGGAGGCCCGAGAGGAGCTGGCGGATCCAGGCGATCTGCTCCGAGACGCTGGGGGCGTTGCTGTTGTGGTTGAGGGTGACGTGGACGGCCACCTCTTCCTCCTTGACGGCGCCGTCGTCGAGGACGGTGCGGGCGCCCGTGTCGAAGCGCACCGAGATGCCG